TAGAAGCACAAGCAGCAGGCAGAAATCCTCGGTCCTTTGAAGCAATCCGGGAAGAATATATTCGAGAAACAAGATATAGCAATTGTTTGTTAAATGGAATAGATTGCGAGTTCGGGTCGCAAATCTGGAAGATGAAGAACAAGAGTTGCAGCAAAATATAGATGAACAAAATAGAAATTATTTCTGTAATGTTTTGTAAATATTAATAAAATAAAATAAAATTTAAGGTCTAATTCTAATAAATGTAAAATATTAAAAATTAATAAAATTTGTAATAAATAATTAAGATAATTCTAAAATAATAAAATAATAAAGTTATAACGAATAAATTTGTAATAATAGATAAATATAAATAATGTTAATAAAAATATAAGTTTCTAATCTAATAAATAAAATTGTATTGAAATAAATTTTAAAAATAAAATGATAATAAAGAAAATTTTAATGAATAAAAGTATAACGAATAAAAATATAACAAATAAAGTTATAACCATAAGATTATAACAATAAAATTGTAACAAAAAAAAAGATTATAAATAAATAAAATTATATCGAAAATTTTAATGAGAAAAATTATTAAGTTGTAACGAATAATAAAAATATAACAAATAAAGTTTTAACGAATAAGGTTATAACAGAAAGTTATAATAAATTATAATGAATAAATTATAATCGAATAGATAATGACTAGTTTAAATTCTGTTTCTTGAATAAAAATTTGATAAAAGTTAATAATAGTGTTTGATTAACAAAATATTCGAATTTTGTTAAAATAAAATTGTTCGATAAAATTTAACAAAAATATTTAAATTTTGTTAAAATAATATTGTTCAAAAATTGGTATATTTCTAAAAAGAAATATTTGTAACATATTATTAATTAAATTTGTTAATACAACTATTTGTTATCTGTATAAAACAAATAGTTATTGTAGTGCCCATGCCGTCACTATAACCTGTCAGTAAATTGAGCAGTTTATAGGCAGGATTCAAACATATGACTCTACAATGGCCACACGACGTCACCACTTTACTACAACAAGTAATTATCTAATTTTCAAAATTTTTCTGTTCCAGCTTCTTGTATCCTTTTTGTATTAGCTAGGTATAACAAAAACTTGTTTGTCCTGTACAAGGATTATTAGCTACTAAAACTTAGAAATATCCTAAGATATAATCAGAGGAAAAAATACTAATAACTAGGCTGTCAATAGCTATATATAGCTTTTTAAATTTTAATAATATAAAGCTAGTATATGCCAGCATACTATTCATGAATATAGTATCACTTTATATTATTTATAAGAAAGAGAAAACTATATTAATAAAATAATTATAAAGTCTAATAAAATATAAATAACCCAATAAAATAAAGTCAAATAAATATATAATAACTATAAATAAATTAATAAAATAATGTTTAATAAATATTAATAAGTTGGATTCAAAAATAAATACTAATCCTATCCAGGATATACACAGCTAGGAATATTATGTTCAGAAAATACACAAACAGCTGGGAATATTACGTTCAGAAATTACACATAGCGGAAATATTACGTCCAGAAAATATACATGGCTGGGAATGTTACGTTCAGAAATTACACACGACTAGGAATATTACGTTCAGAAAATATACAAACGGCTGGGAATGTTACGTCCAGAAAATACACATGGCTAGGAATATTACATCTAGAAAATACACAATAATTCTATTCTGGAAATACATAAACAATATTAGTCCTATCCAAGACATACACTAAATAAAATCCTTGCCTCTAATACTTCAAAACGAACTGCCAAATTTGAAAATCAATCAAAAAATTCTGAAGAAACATTAGTCAACAAGACTAATAATTATTACTTTGAGTTAATGCTTTTAGTATTAACTCTATTTTTAATATTCATTTTAATTCCTATCAGTTTTGTGATAGGAATTTTATTTCTATATCGATTTAATATTTTATTAATAAAAGTTAAACTTGTGAAAGGGATTATATTGATTATATTAATCCTTTTTTGATTAATTTTTCACAATTAACTATTTCACCATGGTTTAGAAATAGTGAGATGCTTAAAGATATAATTAACAAACTTATTGAAAGCAAAATTAAAATTGAAGATTTTCTGTATATCGAGGTCTGCTTAATAGATGATATATGGTATTCTTCAAATAACAGACGTCTTTATTGTTTTTAACAAGCAATTAAAAAAGGATTAAATATTAATAAAATACTCAAAATCAAATACAACAAAACAATAAAATTGACGAAAAACAACTTAAAATTTAACTAAACTATCAAGAATTACTTAATAAAAATGAATCTATTGTTGAAGATAATGATTTTGAATTTAATGAAGAAATAGAATTAGATATTGGTGAAGAAACTATATCTGAAGAATTTGCAAGAAAAAATAGAAATTCATCACAATTTCATAGTTTAAAACGTTTCATTAGAAAATTATAATTTATTTAATTTTTTTTATTTTATAAATATAATACTATTCATTATTTTCAATTTAAATTTCTTTAAAAATATATAAATATTCAATAAATCTTGTAATTTTTAATTAAAATCTCTCAAAAAATGTCACCAATTTCTAAAAAATTAAATCAAACATCTAAAATCAGATGTTTTCAATGCAGAAATCAAAACATCGGTTGTAAAAAAAGTATTGAAAATCCAAATATTTGTCAATGTTGTTATAAAAAAGGGTTTGAATGTATTTTTGTAAAGCCTTCTAGATATGAAGATGAAATTAAAAGATTAAATTTTATTATAAAAAATAATGAAAAATGTATTTTATCTCTTGAAAAACAAGTTTTTAATTTTGAAAAAATTGAAAAACTTGTTAAACAGAATATAAGTTAGTTATTTACAATTTACGAAAACCATTAATTTTTATTAATATTTTTTTATTTTATTATAATTATTTTTTTTAAATTTGTTTTTCAATTCTTAAAAATTGATAATTCATTAATAAAATAGTGTTTAATTTTATATTTTCTTATTTTTTAATAAATATTTTATTTTTCTTTATTTTTTTTTAAAAAAATATATATATAAACAACATCTAATTTATTTTTATAAATTAAAAAATGCTGGCTCAAAAATTATTAATTCTATTTTTATTGATTAATCAAACTCTCGCGTATTGTAGATGTTTTAATGATAAAGAAATAGAATCAAACAAAATTTCTAAAGAAGATACTGCATTAATTTGGGATCTAGCTTTTTTTCCTCAAAAATATCATGAAATTGATTCAATAATCAAAAAAACTACACTCAAAAATTATCAAATTCTTGCAAGTCTTAATACTGAAAAAATATTTATCATTATTGAAAATTCAAAATTAGATTTAAAACTAAAAACAAAACTTCATAATCTATGTGCAAGTAAATTTTCTTATTATAGTTTTATTGATTTGAATCAGCATACAAAGGATTTTGTTTCTACTTTAGACTTAAAAAACAGAATTTTAACAGATAAAATCTTATTTGAAGATGATAAAAAAAAATTAATCAAGTTATTAAATTTAAAATTATTTAACTTTATTAAAGAAAATAATTTAGAAGACAAAAATGATTTTAATATTATTATCACAAATAATGACAAAAAAGAAACTTATTTTTGCAAAAATAATTAAATAATGATAATTGCTATTAAATCATTCAAGTTTAATTTGTTTAAAACAAAAAATATTAAATATAAAATAAAATATACTATAATAGCATTTATGATTATTAGTTCAAAGATTTTAACTCTAATACACAGTGCCTCTCGATATAACGGAGGCTATGGTTCCAGACCTTTGCTCCGTTATATCAAAAGTTCCGTAATATCAAACTCTCACGATATATCGGATATTATAGTAAATTATAATAATCTCCGTTATATCAAGAAAATAAATTTTTAAATCACAATTTTGCTAATTTGAAGAGTTGGCTCCTTAATTTAAATTTCTCATCTATATCTACTCTTTTAATAGATTTGAGATTTAAATACAAGTTCTGATTATTATGCATTGGGCTTTATATGACATGTTCTAAAATTTTCAAATTTTAAAATCATTAGGATTTTGGATACAGGTCTAATTACAAACATTCGCAGAATTAGAGTATTGGTCGTTTACTCATACTGATAAGTATTTGGGGCATGTTAAGTGACAGTAACTAACAAAAATGATACATACGTTATTGATTTAGTTACATGCATATATGTATAAGTTATATAAAAGTAGGAAATTCGGCATATCTCCATCAAAGGATCAACACAAATGATTGCTACTGAAATCAGTAGTGAATTAATTGACCTTATGCATACGATATTTAACATAATTCGTATATTATCATTTTACTACTCAGTAATTACATATAGAGTAAATGGGATTAGTAAGACGCTTGCCTTTCTTCTCCACGATTGAAATAAATAAAGGCAATCCAATATAAACCTTGTAATATAAATTTAAAGCCGCAATTAGAACTAAAGATGTTAGAAGTGTACAGATATTGTTATAACCAAAATTAAAGTACAGATAATTTAAAGTATGAAAATGAGTTCATTTATGTTAGAATTATTAGTGAACTAGAATTGAGGCATAATATTTATATAGCAGATAGAAAATAAAAACTATATGCTTTAGTATCAACCCGATTGCTTTTGCTTCTCAGAACTGGATTGAACTGATGTTATACAAATACTCCTGTCTTACCATATAGTAATCGATGTTATTGGTAATAGGCTAGTCTATCCGACAGCTCTAAACAGTTTTTAACCCAAATTTTAAACTTTAATTACATTTAACCAGGTCCATTGCCTGAACTAAATTCTAATTAGAACTATAATATCTTTAAAAAATTTTTAAAGACTGCGTATAAGTAGAATCAATCTATAGCATTAAAACATTGTTTTTATAAACTATTTAGAAACATTTAAATAAAAAAATTTATTTGTAATGCTAGATACATTTTCTCCGCCACTAAAATAAAGTAAAAATTTCTAAACCGTAAGGTTAATAAATTCTTCTAATGTAGCTTGTCTTCTACTTTCATTACGCAAATAGTTAATATACTTTTTAAGGCTATATAAGTCTTTCATTAAAGACGAAGTAATTTCTAGATCATTTTGCTGAATATATTTTATTACCTTATCAAGTCCTACAATTGCATCTCCAATTTTAATCATTTCTTCATTTTGTTCTTTTTCTGATTCACTCTCATCTTGTCCATTTACTACATTAATAATATCATCTATAGTTAAGTCTTCTTCGATATTTATATAATTGTCAATCTCGATATATTCATATGCATCTATAGGATCATCAATTGGTAAACGTTGAATAAGATCTATAATTTCTTCCTCCAATTCAGTTTCCCCAGACATGGACACATTCAATTCAGTTTCTTCAGGCAAGGGCACATCTAATCTGGTTTCTTCAGGCATAGAGGTAATAGAAGGAAGTATACCGGTTCTACCCCAACTACGAATAATTGTACCTGCAGTAACATTTTTCCATGCTTGAGCCGCAAAGTTAATTGCATCATATAGTGTAATATCGGGTGGAACTGGATTGTCTTTAGTAATTGTATCATAAGCTTCAAGACGATTTTGACACAAAATACGTCGATATTGTGCCTACAAAAAATAAATATAACTTTTCAATAAATAATAATGAATTGAGATTCTTAAGGTTTTTACAGAATAATGCATTACAATATAGATTTCATTAGTTAGATATAGTCTAACCAATGAAACCCACTTCATAGATATGCCATTCTGTAAAAACCTTATAAATTATTATCATGGCTAAAGCTTGAAATTAGGGACCTCGATTTAAAAATACGACAATTATTTTAAAATTACCTTGAGGCTATAACCAATTCCTTGATCAATAGGCTGAAGATGGGACGTTGTGTTGGGAGGTAAAAAATGTATACAAATATTTGATAAGTCTTGAATATTTTCTGAATTATGTGATGAAGCATTATCAAGAAGTAAAATAATGTTTCGTCGAGCAAGTCTCATTTGACTATTAAATCGTTCTAAAAAATGAGTAAATATACTTCTTTGCATCCACCCTTTTTTATTCCAATAATACCAGACTGGAAGAGTAGATTTGTCAATACCACGAAGTACACGTGGAGTTTTGTATTTATGAATAAAAAGAAGTGGTAATTTTTCATCACCAGTAGAATTACAAGTAATCATAAGTGTAACTCTGTCCTTTGGTTTTTTTTTTCCTAAAACTGGACCATATGCAAGTGTCTTGCTTGGCTCAAGTCGCCAAAAAAGCGCTGTCTCATCACAATTGAATATGTCTCTAGGTTCATAATTTTGAAGAACCTCTTGAAGTTCTATACGAAAGTTTAAAACATCTTCCAAAGGCACACTACCGGCTTCTCCTCTACGTCGATATGAAGAAATATCATTTCTTTTTTTAAAGTTAGCAAGCCAACCGTCAGATGCATTAAATTCAGTAATTCCAAAATGATTAGCAAATTCCTTAGCTTTAGCTTGAAGAAGGTGGCCTGTAAGAGTAAGTTCATTTTTGATTGCCTGCTCAACCCAAATAGACATCGCTTCTTCGAGATCAGGATAATCAGGTTTTCTTTGACGTTTAGCTTGAATTAAAGTGGAATCATCTTTGAGACCTAACCAGTATTCAGAACGTTTGAGAATATCCGATACTGATTGTTCACTTATTCCATACTCCTTAGCTAATTCGACACCTTTTAAATTAGGATTATTGTATTTTTTTTCACATAATTCCTTTTTTTGTGCACCAGTTAAAGTTATTCTCTTCTTTATATTGGTACCAGAGCTTTCTTTACGGTTTTTAATTTTATTCATAATGAATACAATTCATTAATATGCGATCTGGATTATGTTTCTCAATTTATATATTTTTTGCAAGTTATTTATACTGATTATTTAGCGAAGGTGTAATTATTATCCTTTACTTTTTTTACCACCACACATTATTCTATAATAAGCATTATTATTATAATCTTTGTGTTATTATAATTTTACTATCATCACTAATTATTTAATTTTTATTTAGATGCCAAAATAAGTGAAACAATAAGTTCTCAGATTCATAGACTCTTGCAGAATACTCCAATCGCTCTTGCATTTTCTATTTTTTTATTTTTTATTTTTTATTTTTTTTTAATCTGGTAAGTTCATTCTTTTGCATATACACCTTTTCTTAAGAAATATTGTTATTCGTACACCTTTTCTCAAGAAATATTATTATTATTATAATGTTCTGAAACCTTTTTTTTGATGATTACTAGTTTGTTAAGAACCTTGTTAAATGATGAGATACATAGTAACTTATTTAATCCATTATTCAATAGCGATAGTGAGTTTATAAAATCTTAATTTATACTAACGCTAATATTAAATATGTATTATTTGTTGCATGAAATGCAATAAAATATGTATAATAGATTGTTGTGGCCCTTACTAACCACTAATGCAAATCATACGAAGGTAAGCGTTCAATTAATCTTTAATACGTAGTATTTTTGAAAATTGAAAAAAGCAATTAATTTTTATTTTCTTATTCTTTATATATATATTGCATTGGACTCTAATCGATTGCATCATTTACATCATTAATCATTCATTTAACTTATACTATATTTAACTCACTAATGATTACATACTTTTTATGTGTCCAAAAACTAATGCGAGACATAAGTACTTTTTTCAATATGCTATTGATACTAGATATCCTCAACTGAATCATTGTTATTATTTACTCTGAAACCTTATTTTTTTTTCACTAAGATCATCTCTTAATTTGGTTATATGCAACATTTCAAATTATTATAGTGTTGATGCATGTTTCATTTTTTGATTTGATCGTTATTGTAATGTACTAATATGTATGATGCAAATAATCTAGTAATACGTATCTAGTTTATTTGTTAATCTAAATTTAAACTTAAATTATAATAACTGGTTTGACCTTTAAATTGAGCACAAAATCCAGTTGCAGGTGATTATTTTTAGGCCGTTCTTCCCAACATAATTAGCTAGCATTGAGATGACACTCAAACATTTGTATGATTGCAGAAGAAAATCAATTGCCTGGATAATTTATTTTATGTTTTAAAGTACTTTCTGAAAACGTGATGTTTCACTAACAAAAATTCGCCGTACATAAACGCCATTAATAGTTATAAAAACTTTACTTAGAAGACATGTTTAGACAATATCAAATTGTATCGTAGAGTGAAGGTATTGTTACGGGTAAAGTGAACCGTGATTAAAGATTATAACCCAACGTAATATAATCAACGATTATACCCCAAGTCCCTGATCGATGCATACATTCGTAATCGCCCAAAATGAACAAAACATGCATAATTGCTCCCAACGATCCAGACATTGCGCGATCAGTATACAGTATAAAGCCTAATCGGGAAAGAGATAAGATCACGGTGCCCAGGTTTCAAAGTGGCAGGAACGAAGTAGCCAGTTGGGAGGTTTGTGTCAGAGAAAATGGAGAAACAGCATTGTTAGCGAAAAGACTCAAAAATAGACAACTAGAAGTGAAACTTACCCATGAGGCCCAAAGTGCTCAATTGAATCTTGTAAATGTGGTGGGAAAATAATGAAGAGAAACTGGTAGCATTTTAAAAATAATGTAATTAGTTAGTAAAATGAAAATGTATAAAAGCAAAACAAGTGTAATAAAGAAAAACTCATCTTTCGCAGCTCTTAAAGTAATTAGAAAGATTGAACGCCCTTATACAAACAGTTGTAGTAATTTTAAAAATCTGTTAGAGTTGTTAAGCAAAAACTCAAGTACCAGCTCAAATAAAACAAAAACTATACTTGTCAAATCTTGTTCACGCTTCTAGTAGAGTTGCCTTTTGCCCAACTTACAGTTTTGCCATTTATAGTATCTAGAAACATTTTTTAATAATTATATATTCTGATTGGTTAATTGTCACGGGAAGTCATGGTTAGATCTACAAAATTAACCAATCATATGAATGCTTTTCTACAAATAATAAAATCCGCTTTATCAAGAGATTTTTTATTATATTGGCATATTTTGGTTTTAAATCAAAATCTGTTATAAGTTATATCGCGAGATTACTAATAATCTCCGATATATCGAAATAATTTTATTAGTAATAATTTTGTTCCATTAAAATTCTCTGTATTAAGCAATATCCGTTATATCGATGGTCCGTTATATCAAGAGGCACTGTGTACAAATAAAAACAAAAATTATATGCAAGAATAAAAGCTCAGATATATTTATCTGCAACCTAAGCTTACTAGAGTGGTCAAAGACTCACCTAGATTTTTAAAGTTAAAATGAAGTTTAAAGTTGTACTATATTTGATCCAGTGTTTATACCAAATGTTAATTTTTTCTTTAGCTTGACCTACAGGAGG